ACTTTTTACTATAAAAGAACTCCTCCAAGGCTGAGAGTATGTTGCACTCGAACTTGATTTTTTGTTGCCGATTTCACTCATCAACTAATTCTAACATCATATTCGTACTCAGCGAATAAAACAGCGTCGAATGAACTATCAACCATAGGATCAAGACACAAAAAAATATTAGAATCAGAACTTTGCTTTTGCTTTCCTTCTGTTATATTCTCTCTCCCGTTTGGAGTAGTTCTTTCAGACACGATTTCAGACTTCCAAATTTATATGGTAGATAGAGGTAAAACTCACTCAATTTCTGATCAAAGGAGAAGTTGGTTCTGCATCTCTTTCAGATTTTACGAGCATTTTGCTGAACACAGGTAAAATGGAATCGGTCGATTTTCTAACGTAAATAAGTTATGTTTTCTAGAAAAGCTAGACGTCAGACCCTGTTACATACCCAGTTTGTAGAGTTTTCATTTCTGTACCTCAATGAATGACTCCACAACCGATACATGGTTAGATCTATCACAACGAGCTCTACAAAACTTGGCAGATAAAGGTTTGGTTTAGCATAATTTTGATATCCGGCAGAGTCCTTCAAGTTTAGTCCTAAAGCTAAGAAAAATAAAGGACTTCCGTAATATTCATTTCAAATATGTCAGATTTGACGAAAAACTTACCGTATGTCGATTTTTAGTGTACACTAGGAACAATATTTGATTCAGATATTTATTGGCATTCTTCAACATTTAATGAAGGCCATCAAAATTTTGCATTCAATTCCGGTCGAGTCAACAAATTTCCAAGTGAGAATAATTGTATGACAAATTTAGCTAAACTGTATCTTTTATCCTCATTTTACTCAAACTTACGTTATATCCACAGCTAACGAGGAAACCTTTTGAGATGTAACCTTCCGATTCCAATGATTTGATTTGTACATGGATCGATAGAACCCAAAAAGAGTTCTTGAAAAACTGTTTTTCCAGAAAACCAGGTCTTCAAGAGTCATGGTCACGAATCCTTTTAGGGTATTTACTACCTCACTGAGGTCTATCAACCCATGTACAAATCATTAGAATTGGAAAGTTACATCTCGAAAGGTTCCCGCATAAGCTAAGCAGATTTTGTAATGTTTCCACTAGGAAACACTTCCTAAACTTTTCTAAACAAAACTTGATTTCTTTATGGAACACTTGATCACTCTATCTTGACTAACTATAAAAAGATTAATGAAATAAAGAAATGCTGTAATTTCCCGGTAACATCTCCAAAGCAAATATTATCATTCAATTAGTTTATGTTTAGGTATGAATGAATTATTACGAAAAGTTCAGTTGACTCGTACGTTAAACATTATGCGTTCACTTTTTCCAACTGAATATGATTTTTATCCAAGAACGTGGTTTATACCCGAACAAAGTCAACAATTCAAAGACGATGTTCGCTATATTCATGAACAAGATGAACGACATAAACGCTCATTAACAACATTCATCGTAAAGCCATCCGATGGTTCACAAGGTGAAGGCATTTACCTCATACGTAATGTATCGAGTTGTATGATAACAAATCGTCCACATGTAGTTCAGGAATATATTGAGCGTCCACTATTAATTAACAATTTAAAATTTGATTTGCGTATATACGTTCTTATACTAAATTTATATCCGTTAGAAATATTTCTCTATGATGAAGGATTAGTACGATTTGCCACTGTGAATTATAAGCCCCCATCTATGGAAAATTTACATCAGACATTTATGCATTTAACAAATTATTCACTAAATAAAAAGAGTGCCACTTACAAACATACCTTGGATGATAAACAAACAGATGGAAGTAAAAGAAAATTATCTGTAGTGTGGAATCAATTAATTGTGATGTACGGACAAACTAAAATTGATAAAACAAAACTGTTAATAACAGAATTAATCAATAAAACAATAATAGCCATTCTACCCGAATTAAGAGTTGAATATGAATTTGAATTGCCAATGAGGAAAAAACAAAATATTTCATGTTTCCAGGTAATTAAAATGTCCATTGTAGGATATATATGTATTAAGAACATATGCATACTACTCTGGTTTCCTCAAGCTGTAAATGGATTTTTTCAACATGGTCAAATTTTGACTAGATATGAAAAGTTTCTATTAAAAGTATTTTCATAGAAAGTCCAGCTCGTGACAAGTTGTGCAAAAGTCACCGAGACACTTTTCGATAGTTGATCTAACTGGACATATAAATGCTTGAGCAACTAATTGACAGAGTACATTTCTGACAAGTTAAGGAGTCGAATAAGCACTTACTCAAGTAGTTACTAAATTAGTTAGTCAATTTAAATATTTTACCGTTGTATGTGGGAGGGCATGAGAAGTGAGGTTGATTCACTAAAAACTAAAGAAGTCGAGTACTTAGTAAGTCATCAAACTATATAGTTAGATATACAGACATAACAAACTATATATACGTAAACAAAAGTCAAGGTGGTAAGGACTTTCTCATTAATTTCTTTCCAAGATACCTATTTAACTAATGAAAATTCTTACGAGGGAACCCCACGAAGTGATTAAACGCTTTTTGCTCGGAATCTAGTGGGTTATAGGTTATCGACCATGCTGATTACGAATACGACCATGCGGCTT